TTCATTTTTGGTGACTGATGTTTCAGTGCAAGTAGTTTCACAGAGTGTCTCAGCTATGTTAAAGGAGTACTATATAGTCAGAATACAAAGACCTTTCAAGTTACACCTGACCTTTGGAAATTCCTCCAGATTAATTCTGCTCCATCAGCTGGAGGCCAGTTCATCAAAATTCCCTGTGATACAGAACTGAAACTGTACCTGGACAAAAATACATACATACATATTGTAAATATTTGGCTGAAGAAACTGAGATTTGGTTTTGTTTGTGGTTTATAGTTTTTAATGTGACCGAGAAATCTTTCTGAGAACTCATTTAAGATGGTGTAATAACTGACTCCATCAGCTGTTGTCTATTAAAACTGTAAAATACTGTAATTGAAATATTATTCTATTTTGTAGGAGCTTGTAAATATACATAATGCATACAAACATCCATAATGTACATTTTAAGTCTAAATGTGTGTCTCTTTAACCATGCTGGCACTAACGATTGGAATTTCTTTGCATATTGTGTGGCTGATGGAGAAGAGACACTGAAATCAAGCTGTTAAATACACCATCTCATTTTTTCTTTTATTTCACTAGAGTATGTTCTCTGTATTTTTAAAAGAGCATTGAAAAGCCCAAGAGATGAATTCTGCTCTGAAATTGCTATTTGCTGACATAGAAATAGCTGTAAAAATACAAGCAGGGAAAAATACAGTATAGCAATATATTTTCATTTATTTTGGAGGAAAGTAGTTTTAAAGAAGAATTATAGTCTGTCTTCTGAATGATAAAGCAGTATAACTAGCATTAAACACAGCTGAAATTTTGTAATGACCAAACCTCAGCTCATCCAAATCCCCAATAGCATTAACTCCCCAGAATTGGGCTGTAAATTTGATTAGCTTTACAACAGATATGAGACACAAATGTTCTTCCTTATACAGTCATATTAAGTGGCTGCAAAAGAAGATCACAAGTCATTACAGAGCAGCATATCCAACATTTAAGTGAGGCAGGAACTCCAGCTCACCCAGCTTTCTACACTAAGTGCAGCGCAGGGTCCTTCTTTGTTATTCTAGCTTCCCAAATCTCTGGCACCCTGAGGGCTGGTGTGTCTCTGGCCACAGGACAGGGTATCACACCAAAGACACAGCTGCTCTCATGCCAGGCATGGTGCATCTGGTAACCTGAGAGATCCCAGTGTATGAGCATCCTGCCATGCTAGCTGTTGCCCATAGTTTGATTGAGTTCATTTCTGTAAGGGCCCAGGCTTGTGAGAATGGTATTGCCAGAGATTGTGTTTGTTGGCATTCTCTGTGACAAAGTTTTGTCTTAATTTCTGTATATTTGAAAGGTAGTCTGTGCTGTTACTGTTACTAATCTATTGTGGCTTTATTTTTGTTAATTTCATTAGGTCATTCTGATAATGTATTTCTGGTGTAGCTTTATATTCTGAGCTCTGTTTTTCATGGATGTTTGGACAAAGCTCCACTTGGAGTGGACTTCTGAAATGGCCACTGGTTCACTGATGAATCGCACTACTTCCAGGAAAAAAAAAAAGCTAGAGCGGTTTACTAATTACAGAAACAAATTCCTAACATTGAGGAAAAAAAAACAGATATATACAAATGGTAAACAAGAAACAGTTTTATAGTAATGAGAAACATGGGGAAAGCAGTTCTAAGAATCCTGAGTATTCCTTTTTCAATTATTTATGCAGTGGTTGTTTTATAAATATGTGTTTTGTTGTACTGATGGGTATTTTTACTATATTCCTTGTTCTCTGCAGCCCAGCTAAGAACTGGCTTGTACTCAGCCGTTTGCTACTCTGAGGGGACAGTTCTTGAGTTTCTCTTTTCAAGTATTTTTGAACATTATGCTCACAGCCCATGCACGTTGAGGATGAAGTATTTGAAATTATTTTAATTCGGTTTGTCTGATAATCTCAATTTTATGGCCTGTCCCCATGAGCTCTGTAAAGACGCCAACTCATGACTCATTGAGTGTTACCAGAAGTGTCTGTCTTCCTGGGCCTGCCATACAGATGCTGCCTCCAGCAGGACAATGTGGCTTGAGCCTGAAGGTGCACAGCTTCATGCAGAAGTAGGAAAGGACCATTTGCATATCTGGAATTCATGTGCCATCTGTATGTCCGCCGATGCAAATGCAGCATGCTGCATGGTCAGTGTGATACTAACACGGTGACTGATCTAAGGTGAAAAGTTTCCTCCTCACTAGTTGTCCCAACTTCCCAAACAAAGCAGTTATGCCAGTTTTGTGGCTTTACAGGAGCTGCTAAAATAAACTAGCTCTTCTAACATCTGTTGAAGAGTTCTTATTGAAGTCCTTATAAATAACTACATGTAATGACAGCACAACTCGGCACTCTCAGAGTTACAGAGATGTAACATAGGATCTTCCCTGGAGAGAGCTATCCTGATCTTTCAGCTTGGTATCTCAAACTAGCAATTACTAGGTTACTGTTCATCTACCTCAAAAGAAATTGGCCACCCTTCTGATGTCTGGGAGGAGGTGAGGGAAGGACCCTACACCTTTCAAAACCTTCCAGATATGTTACTGAAATGTATTCTTATGCCCAAAAAGAAATATAGATAGAAACCCACATAAGTAATCTAAGGCTGGGGATGATTATGTAATACTCAGTACCCTTTCAGTTATCATGGAAATTGACTTTTCAGCTCTCATCTAAGACACTTCCATGTAAACATTCATTCTGCATGTAAAAACATTTTCAGATTTGAACTGAGTAAATCTATATTACACTATGCTGCTTTTCAATGCACCAACATCAAGTTTTGAGAAGATCTTAGCTGCAGCCATTTAAATATGCAGTAAATGGAAGAAATTTTTTTACTCAAGTAACTGTGAAGTGCTAGCACAGGCTGTGCAGAGAAGCTGTGTATGCCTCATCTCTGGAGGCTTTTAAGGCCAGGCTGGATGGAATTCTGAGGTGGTGAGTGGCAATTCTGCCCGTGGTAGGGGGCTGGAACTAGATGATCTTTGAAGTCTCTTCCAACCAAGCCATTCTATGATTCTAAACCTCACTAAGCACTTACCATGATCCAGATGACAATATCATGATATTCTTCCGAGCAGTCACCAGCAGCTGCCTCAGAGGTCAAAGCCCACCTTTCCTAACAGCGTTAAAACCAACACATTCATCAAATTTTGCTCAATGATTCCCTTTGAGCTCCACCATTACTCTTTCTTTCTCCATAGTTGCATGGAAGTGTTTCTTGGACCAATGCTGCCAGATTCAGCCTTGAGCAACCGTAACTGGTTCCCTCAGACTACTCCCTGAATTTTTGCTAAGAGACATTTGCCGCTTCCCCATTACCCAAGTTGCTTATTTACCCTACAGTTTGTCTCAAAACTCATTACAACCACGAACAACTTTGCACTTTGCAACTTAAGCACTAGGAGACTGTCAGAATCCTATTTGTTGTGAACAAAATCCTTCCAGTAATCCCATGTGATTCTCCTCCTTGGCTGTGGAGCCAAAGGTGATATACTTTCTATTCTGAAAATTTTTAAATGGGTCTTAGCTCAGCTGTACCTCTCTGACACTCATGCATGTAAAAATAGCAAAGTCTGGGCCTCGGTGACCTCCTCCGGATATATTAAGATATGGAAGTTAAATGTATGCATTAAGTGCTTGCAGGACTGAGACTATGGGGTCTTAATATGCCACAGCTGCAGTGGTAACTTGCCTTACTGATTCAGGAGATGCAAACTTAGTATTCAAATCATGGGCTCTCCCTGAAAGTGTACATTCAAAGCAAAGTATTTTTTCATTAGATGTTATCTGCTAATATTCAGTTGTGTTGGCAGCAAGTCATTCAATTGATTTGGCTAAAGCAATGTACTTATCCTATCATAAACTCTTATCATCAACAAACAAACAAAAACCTGGGATTAACTTTGCCAACAGCTTGACATCTCTCCCTGGGAATCCTGGTGGTTAATAATGCTGTGCAAACACAACACTCGGGTTACGACTGTACTGGGGAAGCTGACATTCATATTGTTCAATGGCACCATCTTCAGTCAACTGCAGAGCTGATTATTAACTGGCCCCAATAAGAAGTCATGTGCGTCTAGCCTAAGTCAGGAAAAAAACGTACGTAAGTGCCACAGAACTGACATGGTGTGGTGATACAGGAAATCTACTGTTTCGCAAGGACTACCAAGAGTTTGGGTCCTCCAAAGAGGAAAATCTCTGTACTGAAAGGAGAAAAACGTTGATTACTCTGGGAAAGTCTTTTCTTGGTTTGTTTTTCTTAGAGGGCTAGCTGGTTTTATTTAATTAACTAAAAAGTAATTGTAGATCCAGATTAATGACAACAGACTTTTTCTGGGTTGTATTTTTTGGTTGTTTTTTTTTTTTTTTTTTTTGGAAATACAGAAGTAGCTATAGAAGACAGAATCATGAAGCATTCTGGACACATGAATGCTCAACAAAATCTCACAAATTGAATGCCAGTATTCAAATAGTATTTGTTGCCCTCCTTTCTGACCTTTCTTTATTCTTTAAAATACAATTGGAAAAAAAAAAAAAAAAAAAAAAAAAAAATATTAAAAGAATAGGAGCCCATCCTCCCTTTAGGTAGCAATATAGGTATTTGTGGAAGTCTAGTACCATAAATAAATGGCTTCTAGTGTTCTTCTTTTTCTCATCTGAAATTCTTGCTATTTTTCACTCTTTGCTCAAACTATAATGATTGGAACATTTGTTCATGAGGCATAATTTTAGAAAATGATTCAAGTCATATGTTTACCAGAAACTTGCAACTAATTGCCCCGCTAGCTCCTCCCCGTGCTTTTACTCTTTTCCTCCTGTATGCATGCATGTTTTCAAAATGAGAATAAAATATGTAGACATCTTGTTCTTACAGTTAAAGCTAAGAGGACAGAATAAATCTGTATCTGAGGACAGTCTTTTCTTCCTTCCAAGGCTGACAAGCATTTCACGGTTTGTGTTTCCTTTTCAGCTGACCCCCTGGTTGGAAGCATTGCCACTCAGTATATGACTAACAGAGCAGAGCATGACAGAATGGCCAGACAGTGGACCAAGCGATACGCCACATAGGAACCTCCTCTAGGATTTGCTGGACCTGTGCAAGCACATTCACTAAGTGCTTCAATAGCCCTTCCCTTCATTCTTATTTTTTATTAAATTTTGAACCATTTCTTTTTTGTTTTGTTTTTATTTTTATTTGTTTGGGGTTTTTTTTGTTCTGTTAACTTGAAAGCTGTTTCCCTCAAATGTAGACAGGGAATTTTGGTTATCAGTGCAAAGAATGTTGGATCTGTAATAGTATAGAGCTTTGTCACGAAGCTTTGTATTAATGTGTGGTTTTTTTTTTCTTTCATGTGTTTTTTGGGAAAACAAACAAATTCAGAATTATATCTCGTTTCTACTTAAATGTAGTGTTTAGGGTTATTTTTTTGTACTGAAGTCTTTAATGGTGGGTGCATGCTACTGGGAACAAGTTTTGTATAAAAGCTTAAAATCAAGAATCACTGTGCATTACTAAGACTGTGTTTATCACTAGCCTTCTGTTTCCCACACAAAAGGCTACTGCATTGAACAAATTAATATGTATTTTGATTTACTTAAAAGAAAAGTGCTTGTAAATTTCTTAGGGACCTGCCACTTTTGACTGTGGATCAGTTGATGTACACTTGTATTATTAAAGCACTCAATAAAACACTGTGGCTGATAAATGCACTTTTTGCAAGACGGTGCTTTCGCGTCTGTGCACTGTAGACTGCACAGTCCTCACACAATATGACTGCAGGTTAAGCAATTATTTTTAGACCTAAACTATTCATTTGTTCTTAACAGTATCTTTCTTAACTTAGAATTCTTTGTTGCGCGTATCTTTTATATACAAACATCTTCTAAATTTTAAGGCCATTCTTTCACATGTCGGCGCTCAGCTCAGCTATTCTGAAGCCTCTTGCTGAATCTTTTGTACTATAGCTTCACTGTATCCATCTTGTTACTTTTTTAATGGTTGACTATAAAAATAGCCTTGCAATGAAAGCAGAATATTGATGATGATTTTATACAGCAGGCTTCGTTTTGCCTTTCTCCTAGCTCTTTAATTGTAAAAGCAACTGTTATTTGAAAAATAAATGAAGGTTTTCGATGGGAAAATTGAGCCCACTGCACCAATCATTCCCAGCACGTTCAAGGCAAGGGTATTTCTATTCAGATTTGACCTTCAGGCTAATTTTAGATATGCAGCCATAGAAGGAAAACTTCTCCTTGGCTAAGGAAATGCGTGGGTGTTGTGATTTAGAAAATATATACTGTGATGCTGATATCTAAATGTTCTTTGTGTTGCAATGGCATCCTGGAAAATCCCTGTCTCATATAATTAAATGTTACAGATGCCACATACAATCCTTGGCTGCCCTCTCTTTCTCTCTTTTCCTCTTATGTTTAAAGAAGATTTTATCTTAAGGAAGATACATTATAATAGGAACAACATAAAGATACAGGGAGACCCAGTCCCATTACATGCTAACTCAAATCCAGCTTTCCTGGAAATGAAAGAAGTCAAGGTGACACCGTGGGTCCCCTGTGGCAACCACTCTGAGGCACGAAATGTCCAGGCTGTTCTGGATTTCTCTCAGCCATTTGCTCATAGCTGAAGAGTCGTACAGTTTGAATCTACAGGTGAGTTGTCTTCTATATGAAGAGACGCTGAACAGTGATTTTGACATAGGTAGTATGTGATAACTACTGCCTCAAGAACCATGAGGATCTTGACAAAATAATCAATCTAATTTGGTCAAAACAAATGGGGAATCTTCTGGTTTCTGCAGAAGCCAACTGCCTACAGACCTGTGCAAGATTTTGAGGCCAAGAGATCCCAGATACAGATCTGAAAGAATAGAAGAAAAAAATATCAGAAGACAGACTTCTCTGACCTAGAACACCTTTTCGGAAACACTGCTGTATGTGCTTCTCCTGGAAGATGCTTCCACCATCCAATTTACCAGAAAGTATCTCTACATTCTGCTGTAAAAATACAACAAAGGAGCAAAAGGATTAGAAGGACAACTGCATCTTTCCCAGGAAAGTAACAACATTACTTGTGCTGTTATCGTATTTGCTAAAGAGATTCACGCCATGAAAAACCTTTATCCCCCGAGACAGCAACTAATGACCAATTTCAGATCTCTTATGAGTTACTGTAAGCGTCTGCTGCTCTGCAATCTGTATTTACACTCAGCTGAACAGAATGCAGTAATTTCCTAGGTACATTTGAAAAAGAAATGTTCCTACTAACATCTATTGTTTTGCCAAAATATAAAGAAGACGTAAACAGAAGAGCCTATTCCCCCTTTAATGCTGCTGTAACTGAAGAACAGCTGAGGTACCTCGGTAGAGGAACCACTGAATGCTTCACAGAAGTCTCCTCCAGCTCACCTTCCTCACTTATCAAAAGCTGTGCAGCTTTCAGGTAAGTTGCTATTGTGTGAAGCTGAATGCTGGCTTTATCATAGACGATATAAAACTACTTCCTTAAGAACAGCGGGGAATCTCAAAGAAATAATCAGAAGAGATCAACCCACATTCATTAAAGCAGATGCAGAGTCTTCTGGCATCTTCAGGAGCCAAATGTTTGTAAGTCTGGTCATAAAACATTCTCCTCTATTTGCAAATCTACTCTGTTTGCCTCCCAAGTAGTTCTTTTTCTTCATCTGCTGAACCTGGGAAATGAAAAGCATTATTTAAATCTTGCTGTTGTTGCTGAGGAGAAATGAGCCATCCAGAGCAGATTTCAGTCTGCCACCAGAGCCTTGCTGAAAAAATAATATATTGGTATAGTCTCCTTTTCTTCTTTTTTCCTCTACAAAATGCTGCACATTATTCCATCCAGCTTTTGTTTTTCAGGTTCTCTACAAATTTATCTCATTCTTGCTTCATCTTTTATGCCATATCATGGTTTTTCTAATTTTTTTAAATGAAGTCCACACCCGCAGCTGGGTATGAAGATTATTCAGGTGACACATAGCATAACATGTTCAACAGCATAGAGTTGGCTAAAGCGGCCTTTAAGGACATCTTGCAGCTTTTATAACTTCAGCTGCAATAACCAGTAACCACGCATTGACTTTCCAGTTAGTGCTGATAAATATCGCTGTAGCACGTCCTTGATTTTAGCTCTGATGAAGCAGAATTCAGGGACCTCTCCAAAACGTGTTCTCCCGTTCTCTAATCACTGAGGTGGTTTTCACATCCCAGGTCCAACTGACCGGATGAGTTCCATCTCCAGAACATAACACAACATAGTACCCCAAAACATCCTGTATTTCCAGAGACAGCATTTGCAGACTGCTCCAGGAGTGAATTTTAGCAGCTCATAACATTTTTAATTACACGCATTGTGGGTGATTGCAGCCAAATGGTTACAAGCCATTAAAAACAGCTGATGTGCTATGCATAAAGCAGGAATAATTCCTGCTCAAAAATCTTGCTGCAGGTTTCCAGCTGTGAGCTGCAGGTAGGCTCCTAGTGGTGCTCCTCTGAAAGCAGAGGGTGCTGCTGGCCCAGCACACCCTGGGTGGGGTGTGGGCTTTCAGTTGTTATTTCAGCTCGCTGTTACAGCATGCACCAGGCTCATGGCCATTTTATCTCTGTCATTAATCCCTCTGACTCGCTTCTCTTTCTCAAACGCCCTCCCCTCTCCGGCTGCTTTCTTCTGCTTGATCGATTCATTACTCTCAGCTGAAAAATTACCTTAAACACTGATCCCAGTTCAAACAGCTCTTCCTGAAGCTGCCCAGGAATTCAGATTTCCTTCTTCTCTAATGACTATGCCCAGAAAGTGCTCTAGGCCCCTCTGCTTTCCTCTCCCTGAGACAGTGCCTCCTGCAGCAGTAAAAGCAGACATAGTTCTCTTTGAGATGAGGATGCTGTGGGGGGCTCTGACCATGTAGCAGTTCCCAGGTACTCCAGCTTCAGCTTGTCCTGGGGCCCTTTTTCTCCTTCTCAGTTCTCAGAAATCCCTCTTCTCCTTTCCTTACAGCCAGACACCTTGCCCCAAGCTCAGGGCATTTTCCATGTTTTGTGTTGGGCATGTTAAAACAAGGACTTGGAATAAAATTTCTGGCAACTCCCAAGTCCAGCTGTCCAGCCTTGGCCACTGTGGTTCCCACAGAGCCACCTCTACCTGCTGGGTTTCTGTTCTCACTTGCTCTATGTCCCAGACCCCTGCTCTTTTCCTCGCCTCTACAACACCAGCACCGTATCTTGAAGCACTCTTCTTTCCTCTGAGTAACAGCTCTGTTTGTGCTCCAGTGCTAACAAAACCGTGTCACATAACTCTGGGCCTCCCAGAGCTGCAGATTTTGGGGTCTTACAAGCAAGATAAAGCTCTGCATGAACTAAGTGCTTCCTCATTGTGCCACGCCTGGCGTTGGCTGTAAACTAAATCACTTCTCCCACATGTCATTAGCAGTAATGAAATCCGTGCTGCCCTGCTTCCTTAGCGTGACATCCACATGCAAATACATTTCCTCAGCTCAAAAGCTCTGCAGTCCCAGTAGCCTCCAGAAGCCTCTCCTGAGTCACAACCAGAATGTATCTGGGGACTACCAGTTGCCAGGAAGTTTTATGACACCCTTAAATCCATTGTTCTGCACCCTCATTCTGTCATGAACTTTAACGAGGAGCTGCAGCACTCTAGGATAATGAAAAGTGCAGAGCAAAGCATCCTTTTCATGTGGACTTTGAATGTGAAAGAAAGTGGTCATGGGCTAATGCAAGACTGAGATAAAGACAAGGCTCCTAAGCCACCCTAATCCCTTGCTAGTCCTAAACTGGGAAAATTCCTCTTCACCTAAGAATTAAGTAAAAAGTGTACTTTTTTCCTTAGGTTTTGCAGCGCCCAATCCAAAATTCCACTGTCACAGTTGTCCCAGTAGTGGGTGCACCATTTCTGGAGAGGTTCTGTATGGACCTTCCAGTGGTCAGAGCTTACCCACAGCCCTATCATCTCCTCCTCTGTCCCTTGGGAAACAAGGGCTGGAAGCATGCACCTCGAGTCACTCCTTGTTGTCACTGCTCAGCAAATACACTCACTCACAACAGGCATTTGTTGCTGCAGAATCAGTGTGAGGGTCCCCTTTTGTGTTGCTGATGACCTTGCGGTCAGGAAAAACAAAGGGTCACACTTCAGCTTCTGTGAAATGCCTCTTTTCTTTGCATTTGACTCATGCCCTTTGTAAGCCCCTGAATGCAGTCTCTTAGCATGAATGGAGCTTCTGCCACACAGACTTCAATACAGGCCCTCTCCTTTCTCCACTTGGCATAGACAGGGCAAAGAAAGCACCTTGGGCTGATGCACTTTGGAAGCAGCCTGCCTGTAGGGAAGGGTTGCCCACCTTCGCTGCTACATTTACATTTCTCGTAGATCTCCTGGTTGCAAGAGCCTTTCTCTTGCAATTAATGCTCAGCACCAAGAATCTGCATAAACATCTCTTCATTCCTCCTTTGGAGCACATGCTTGGCTTCTACTTCACCCCTGTTCCTTCTCTGTTGTTCCCCATCTCCTAAATCTGCTCTTCCCTTGAGCTTCAGCAACCAACCTCTTGCTGAGCCCACCAAACTCCAACCACTGACACCTCGCAGACCCTCATCGTCCCACTGCAGTGTGCCAGCACCTCATGGAGAAGGGAGCTATTTCCAGTACATGAGATGGCTGCTAACTGCACAAGGTGAGGAAGGAAGACTTATTTATGCTCAGTTGAGGAAAGGAGCAGGTGATGCTGTCCGTGCTCAGTACATGGCACAAATGCTGTCTGCAGATCTCCTGGCCACCCAGTTCACAGTATTACTGCCCGCTGGTCTTATAGAAGGAGTAGGAGGAGAATGGTTTGTATTAAATGTCCTACATGTTGCTTATCTAATCAATACAGTGAAACTCTTCAAAAAAAATCTGTGTTCAGTGAGAACTTCATCATCTTTCATACAGGAATGTAATTGTGTGAATTAAAAAGTCTCTACAGTTTCCTGTTCTACATTATTATTTATTGTCTGTCTGCTACCCCTTGCTGCACTGTTAGAAGAAAATCTTCCTGAAATCTACTTAGAATTTCAATCCTTATTGCAAAGCAGCAAAAATAATCAAAACGTGCTCCGTCATATCAAAGTAATCTAATCAGAGTGGCTCCCAGAATTATTTATGTACATACATTCTTACGATAATTTAATAATTGATATGCGTAAAGAAATAATCTCATTTTCTTCTATTTCATAATATACATCATGAAATGCTATATTTCATTACTCTGTGAACTCTATCTATTTCAAATACAGATTT